TGAGAGTATAAATTTTTACATTAGGGTGCCTCACCAAACACTAAAAAGTAACGGGTTCTCCACTAGAGTTATACAATTTATAATATTTTCAGACTCACGCCAATATATATATTTCGGAAAAGTATCGTGAGTTGAATCGATTGGAAATTACCACCAAAAATCGTAAGTATTTTGATTCCAATGATAAAATTTTCAAAAATTTGTATGCAGACGTTAAGCTCTTCTTAACTCTTCTGTCATCTGAGGTGATTTTTAAGAAAAAATATTTTTAAAAACTAATTTTGTTTATATACCCTTATAAAACCCTATTTTTGGAAGTATTTTCAAATTTAATATTTTAACATTTTAATATTTTTCCGAAATATTTTGGCGGAAGCCTTAAAATATTTCAACTTCAGTAATTCTGATAGAAAAACAGAACTTATTTTTTTGTTTTGTTTTGTGGAGAGTAATGTCCCTAATGCGCAAATGTATGTACATATGTATGTACATAAAAAGATGATGCAAGCGGATTTTTAAAAACTGATTTTACTGTTGTTATTAGTCATAATCTACATACATATTTTCTATGAAAATATTTAAAATTTTTCTTACAAATATCTTCAGTGTGCATCCAGTGTGCGGGTGTTTCAAAATCCGGTATCATCCAAGTGATGTTGCCCTGTAATTTCTCACGCAATGGATCTTCGGCAAAGATGTAACTGAAATTCATTGTAATCTAAAAAAATCATAGAAAAAATAATAATTAAAAAAAAAATATATATATTTTGCTATTAGACGGAGTATAATTTTTTATTAAGATAAATCGACGGGAGGTACTGGATGTTATCCTGGTCAATTACAGAAAGGAATGAATTGCACATAATTACTGCATGAATTGCACATAATTACTGCATGCTGTTATAGAAAGATCACACTTAATCACGTAGCCAGGGGTAGCGAAGGGAAATACATTGCAACTCAACCCCAAAAACTTAAAAAGACCTATAACCTTATAGTCCTTTCAATTAAAAATTATTTATAGAGTTCCATATCAGAGAGGCAATTTCGGTGACAATACAGTACGCTGATACCAAGGGTAAGTCCATGGAAACAGCGCTCTATGAAATCGGGACGCATAAAGAAAGGTAACTATCCTTCAGGAATGTAGCATTCCTCCAACTTTTACCAATATTGAACTCAATATAAGCGAATCCAAGAAATATCTGGGACTCATACTGGATGAGAAAGAAACTGTGCGAAATTGTACGTTAGCCCTCGAAAAGCGAAACCGGGCGTAAATGGGGTATCCTATCTGGAATGACTAATCACTGCGGTCACAACTCAACTCTGGACCGGCCAAAAACAAGCTTCGACAAAGGGTATAAAGCAGAAGCCCCTAGTAGAAGGAGCCAAGATGCTTCGAGACCCACTGACTCTATTCAGTTCTATGTACTCTGATGGATCTTAAATGGATAACAAGGTCGGAGGAGGAGTGTACTCGGAATGACTAGGAGCACAAAAGTTATTCCGTCTTCGAATCCGAGCTTGCGACTGTACAAGAAGTGAAACATGACACTGAAGATTTCACAACGCCGAAGCCGGTTTGTCTCCAAACCAAATTTGACAAGGGATGATGGAAAATAGTAGAAAATACATCAAGCTGTCGAATGTTTGCGAACAAGGGTAGTCCGACACTAATGTAATATCTATGTTTTCTTAGTCAGGCAAGTCTAAAAGCTCTGAATTCGGCCCTAAGTAATTCGTAAGTTCTAGTAAATTTCCGCGAAATGACAGAACAGCTTTTTCTTTACCTGGTATTGGTGTCGGAAGTCAGACAGAGCTTGCAAGGAAGGGCATATGGCGCTAGTAGCCACCTGCAAGCTCAATATAAGTACATACAAGTTTTTTTCTTCTTCGAAGCAGATGCAAGATGGAAGACCTAGATACCTGCAACGCGACATAATTCACGAGGCTAAAATAGGACTTGAAAAGATGTAGGGAGCTGCTTGGTCAGGTGTCTGCTGCCAGGTCATTTCCCTTGAGGCAGGTATGCGGAGAGATTCGGGGTGCCTTGTAATGAGTTTTGCAGGATCTGCAAGTTTACTACTTAAATGTATTCTATACAAGCCGACTACAGTATTCCGATATTCGCAAGGAAAGAATGGAGGTCAAACGCAGATAATAGCAGCGGATTTGAAGCTCGTCAGGAGATTTGGAATATATTCGGCACCGCAAAGCTGATGAGTTGGTTCATCTCCGATGTCAGCTGGCCGTCGATGATGACGCGTAAAACTAAGACTGAACTTAATCTAAAGCAGTCAACAGGTATTACGCTGAATAAGCTTTTTAAAGCTTTCTATAGACTTTATACAAACGCATAGAGAGAAAAAACTCTCGGATCAACACTGATTAAAGGGGACGCTAGAAATATATCGCTGGTGTCATAATCCAAAAAATACAAATATTGAGCTAGGTAACAGTGTTGCCGTTTTAGCCATTTGGTGGCACGGAGTAGTGAACTGAAGGTGACGTATTCCCGAAACCGCTACTTTGGTTTTGCCGATTTTGACATTTATGGCAACACGTAAACAAACTTTTTGCTTAGAAACAAGTGGCAAAGAGGAATTGTGAATTTAAAATGAAAAATCGTGCTTTGTGAATAAAAACAAGTTTTATTTCGAATAAAAACTTTATAAAAATGTCGTGCCGTGTGCCGCGTCATTATGTTCTTTGCCTAAAGCGACAACCCGCACCAACATGTAAGTACATATGTATGTACCTCAGTGCAGTTACCGTCGCAGAAATAGAACTTCCCAGGCTCAGCTAATGGAATGTAATACAGGTTATGGAAAATCTATATGTATAGGATACGAAAACGTGCATTAGTGGGCACCAACACTATAACAATACTTACATGCTGATCCTCTGCGGAAAACGTAAAATCACTTTGCATACAGGCATATTCGGGCAGCTCTTCCGTTGATGCGTAATACTGAACCACATACCAGAATCCCATCATCGATTCCAGATCGAAATTCCGGATGCCACGTACCTGCAAAAAATAAAAGAATTCATTACGAGAATGATGGATACGGTATAAATAAAAACTTGTTAAAAATGGTTGTTCAAAAATATTTGAGATCGTAAATTAAGAAGTGTTTGCACAAACTTCTGCTTCGTTGAATTCTACAGAAAATTTTACTATGACATACTATTAGTAACAAACGAAATTTTTTATTGAATTACATGTTACATAAAATAAAATAGTTTTTAGAAAATAAAGCAGCAATCAAAATGGGTCTAGCTCCTGAAATCTGGTAACAGTTGCCCGGGATACACGTGAGATATGGAGAAAACACTTCTCAATGCTCGTGAATGGCGACACAGGTGGCGCGTTTGATGAAGGAGAACCCGAACCAAGGTATAGGGACGAAGCTCACGTCCCTCTACTGGACCAAGACGAGGAGAGAACAACAATAAGGTGGCGTAGGGACAACAAAGCCCGCGGAGCCGACGGCATACCGGCTGAGTTGTTCAAAGGCGGTGACGAAGAGTTGGTGGTGCGCATGTACCAGCTGTTAAGCAGAATTTGGTCCGACGAATATGTCCGAGGACCGGAATCTCGGTGTACTTTTGTCCAATCCAACAATCGCGGAATAAGCTTTCTTTATATTGCGTACAAGGTCCTGCCGATGATACAGTGAGAAAAACTGAATCAACTGATTAGACAGCCACACTGAGGCTTAAGATAACTAGATTTTCACGGCATGTCAAAACCTGGAGAAGATACTAGATAAGCATCTTTTTGTCGATTTTAAAGCACGAAGAGAAGCTGCCTGTACGACGCCAAACTTCAGCTCCGTATAAATTGGGAAGGACCTCTCCACGCCCTTTGAGACTAAACGAGGTTTTAGACAAGGCGATTCACTCTCGTGCGACTTTTTCAATCTGATGGTGGAAAGCGTCATAAGAGCTGAAAATCTGAGTGGCAGCGGCACCACATACATACATATAGCAAAGGAATGATGCTGCTGGCTGATGATATCGATATCGTCAGTCTGAAACTAAGGGACGTAACCGTAGCATTTTCCAGATTAGAAAAAGAAGCTAGAGTAGGTTGGTCTAGTGGTGAGCGTCCGCATGAAGATCAAGCGAAAAAACACTCTTGCCAACAGGTTCTACTTTGAGTTCGGAAGGCAATTAAAAAGCAGAGCCCTCTCATGGTGAACAAAAGCGACGCTATACATGTCACTCGTCATACCTGTCAGAAACGTGGACGATGTGGAACACAAATGAGAAGGCTTTGGTTGCTTTCGAGAGAACTATTCTACGCAAGATCTAGGGCTCTGTTCGCGTGGGCGACGGGTATCGGAGAAGACGGAATGACGAACTGTATCACCCATGGGTGCATAACGAAAGCAAGGGCGCCCACGAATACAATAAAGGAAAAAGTGCAGAAGGACCTGTCTGCACTCGAGCTGAGCAACTGGCCCAAATTCGCATAGGAGAAAGGCAATTTGAGAAGCTTTTTGGTCTCGGCCCAAACCAACAAACCAAATAAGAAGAAGAAATATATACAGCTGTAAAGATCATTCCGATGAATTGATGACCTCCTCTTTTTTGAAGTCAGTTAAAAAAAAACATTTATATAAAAATTTAAGATTACTGACAATTTCTTCGTGATCCAATGATCGGATCCAAACCAAATTCGTATGGCACCACCCTCGAGGTACCCCCTCTCCGATAAAAGAGAATTATCGAAATTGGTTCGCGTGATCCAAAGATAAGCGATAATATACATAAAAAACAATATTCCATCGAATTCATGACATCCTCCTTTTTTGAAGTCGGTCAATAAGTAAGGTTGACGCAATCGCCTCACAATTTCTTGGCAATGTAATGGAGGTTATCCTGTCTAACAATCCAACGGGGCTCTTAATCCCAACAATTTCCCTCTTGAATCGAAATGCATAGCAGATGAAGANAAGTCGGTCAATAAGTAAGGTTGACGCAATCGCCTCACAATTTCTTGGCAATGTAATGGAGGTTATCCTGTCTAACAATCCAACGGGGCTCTTAATCCCAACAATTTCCCTCTTGAATCGAAATGCATAGCAGATGAAGAGGGAGGTCCTCACTGCGCTTGAAAGACCAAGTGGAGAAGGACTTGGCTAGTTTCACTTAGCATTTCCAATTGGCGTCAGTTGGCATAGAAGTGAAACGGCAAAAATCGCTTAGACGGTTGCAGCGCCAAATAAGAAGAAGAGCAGGATCTGCGCTCGAATATGCAAATTTTATATTCCTTTGATTGATTTACATAATTTCCACTCTCTAAAAGTAAAAGCCATATGAAAAATTAAAAGAGGATTAATCCTCATTGCCCTCCATTGCCTCCTTTTACTTTTTCTTTCGACAATTTCACTTATCGACATGAAGAATGTAATTTCCCAACGCCCACTAGAATCCGTTTGTGGACGAGTTTTTAAGTGCTTTTTCGACAATAAAAAGAACTAAATTAAATGGATCACATTTCGAGTGCGCAAACGCGCTGGTATTCAGTCAACATTTGCGAACGCTCAGATTTGACTGGCCATGAAGTCGACACAATCTGGGTAGTTGTGTGCGCGTGCGCGCGCGCTCAGGCTTGGCCGGCCACTTAGAAAGTGTGATTGATTTTGGCGCGGCCAATGCTACGTCGCCCAACGCACGCGCGCACGCTCATGATTGCAGCACATTTACTCCAGACGTACATATGTATGTTAATGTAGATGCTGGCGCTTGGTAGCTGGCCAAGGTGGTCGCCAAAGTGGTGTATGTATGTATTTACCTACATACTTGTCTGTCTAAGCGCCCGTTTCTTTTCCGTCATTCTGATAAATGTGCAATGTCGCTTGTGCCGCATATTGATGAGATTCCATTTGATGAAAAACGTATTTACATTAAAATTTTCTATTTTTATTTTTTTACATTTTTGCCAAAACATAACTGCTTACTGGTTGTTGGTATACCAAAAGGTATTTAGAATGCGAGCACATGCGGCCGCAACAGCAGCAGCATCAGCAATGCAAACATTTGTAGGTGCGCGTATATCCCAGCTAGTACAACGCGTTCTTCATGGGGCGCGCAGATTCGGGCTGGCGTCTTTTTTATAAAGCACTAGTATGTACATATGTATGTGTATGGGGGCATGTTTGGGCGTACGGCC